TTTACTACTTTAAAAAAATATTTATTATTTTTCTCTATTTTTTGTTTTAACTAGTTTTTCTCTAGATTATTTTATTATCTTCCTACATTAAAAATTGAAACACTTTGAAGCTCAATTTTATTTTGATTGCATCTTTTTATTTGACCAAGTATTTCCACTTTAGTATTATTCAACAGACTTCCTTCGATATAATCACTATCACACGTAATATGAAGCGTACATCATATACAAAAGTGCTATCAACAAAATTTTCTTTTCAATTCAATCTCTTTTCCCGTAACTGTATAACTTATTGATATATCAATTTTCAATATTTCGAGTACTTGAACTTCTTTTAAGGTGTTACAATTTTTTATGACTATATATTTACTAAGAGTATATTCTTCAATGAGACAATCTTTCTATTTACTCCATTTTTCTTTTGAAATTTTTTATTTTTGAATCGAATGCCATCAAGTTTCAAAAGTGGCATATATTTTACCAAATATAATTTTAAAAGATTGTCCTTTCTGGACAACAATTTGAGTCAAGCATTTTGGATTTGTATGATATTTGGTTAATGTGATTGGTTACTAAATACATTCAAATGAATTATCTTTCGATATGCATTATGTTTATAATTTCTTGCTGCTTAATCACCCCTCCCCCTCCCTCACCTCCACCCCCAATGCTGAGAAAACTATCTTATCAAGATGACAATTAGCCAATCGCTTTGTAAATATACTTTTAGGGTTTAAGGAACTTTATAAAAGTTTCAAACTAAACGTGTATTCTCAATATTATCTAAAACACTTCTTAGTGCATTGTAGTGGAGTGACAAGACCATAAGTCAATTATAACAGGAGAACGTGGTGTGGTTATTATGCATACCATTGTTGGTACATGAAAGTAGCTTTCACTAAGTAGAAGTGAAAAGTGTTGTGTGCTGAATTGTATAGGTTTAGCAATTAGTTGGAGGAATTAATAGTTAATTTTACTAGATCATCTACTATCATCCCAACTAATAGACAATAATTATCAAAGAATTTAGGATGTAAAAAGTATTGATTTTTAATTAAAAAATCAATATATAATACACATATGCATTATAAAAAGAAGTTAATTGACATGTACGTAATGTGTCTCTGTCCTCTTTTGAAATGTTGAGTTGGTATGTCCATGTCCTGCCATGTTCATATCCTTATTTTATAGCTTCCAGTAGAGGTAACTATGGATCGAATAGTTAGAGAGAAGCTTTTCAATAGCCACCCTGAAATTTATTATGAACGATGCTCCATTCCTTCTTTTGGTGGTCGACTGGGATGTGGTGAAGAATTTTGCTGATGGGAGGTTCGAAGGTTAGCAACCTCATTGGATTCAATCGGCCTATTTTGGGCAAAAATGTTGCTGAGTTAGCTAAAGAGTAAGGGGTTTATAGGAGGAGAATAATCGTCTTTGAATACGGTGGCGTGATTGGAAGACTAAATGATGTAAAGATTATGTTACAGTTGTGTGGTTCATGGGAGAGCCTTTGTGAACATAGAATCTCATTGTAGAACTGTTTTTGCTGTAGTGAATAGTCAGAGAATAAGGTTTTGGTTAGACTAATTTTGTGAAATTGGATCTTAAAGGATGCCTTCAATTAGACAGGGTTAATGACAATGATGGAGGTGATAGACAGTAATTGATTATTGTTTTTCTCCTAGATTGTCCAATCATATATTGACACGTATTTCTTCTGTCATTGAGTCTGTCACTATAGTAAAATTGCTTTAGAGAAGCTAGTGCTAAATAAGAGGACAAAACGTTCAATTTTTCAGAAAAGAGTACTTTTCGTTTTGATTTTCTAGCTGTAGAATCTTGGCTTGACCTTACAGTTATAGATACTCTCATATAGGTTTAGCTCATGAATCGCACTTTAGCCTCTGTAATTGAATGACATTTACATGAACTTCACGGCCTGCTTCACCTTCACTTCCTTCCGTACCTGATTCTTAGTCTGCTCTATTAGTTGCTGTCTTGAATTGGTTGTTGTTGACTACCAAAATTTACTTTTCTTCCACAAACGGGGGTATTCTTTTGAACAATATACCATTAAGTACAAATTTGTAGTTACTCATGTTCTAATGTGATTCCATGGTTCCAAACAGGGTAGCAGTTCATGATCTTCAGTCATCACCAAGTAGAGAAGCTTCACCATTGGAAGGCATAATAATGGCATGCAGTCGAGGATCAAAAAGCAAGATATGGCATATGATTAATACTGCATTTCCTCCAACCTCTAATTTTCTCCGTTAACTACAATTGCATATTCCTTTTTTCACCAATGACTCTTAGTTCTTAGTAACTTAATTCAATACTTGAAGCATTCTTTCTTGTGATTATTTAACATTTCGCTATCCTCAAT